CTTTAATAACAAAATGCCTCCATAAACTAACTCTTTTTTTTTTTTTTTTTTTTTTTTGGTAACAGGGATACATTTTGTTGCCTGCATTAACTACAATCCTGTGCTAAGCTCCTCTGATACAAATAATTTTTCATTTCTCTCCTGAATTAACCTTCTTGATTCTAACTAAGGCAGAGTGAAAAAAAAAAAAAAAAAAAAAAAAAAAAAAAGACAACAAAAAAAAAAACACCAAAAACCAAAAAACCCACCAACCCACACTGATTTATGCATTAATTCAGGGACCAATCTTACAAATGTTCACATGGGTAATCCTTCCACAGATGAATAATCCCTCTGACCACAGCAGAATGATTAACAATAATGCAGATTAAGGTCTTCAGGATCGGGCCCATGCCCTGATGCTTGAGTTCTCACCCAAAATTTAGTGAATGATGGTCCCTCTTCTTTCGTTAGATGTTATTAGAGGCCCACATACAGCTCTCAATTATTTCATTTGATTACATAGCTAATATGCCCTGGTCCTGTCAGCACTCCCTGCAAAGCCTAACAAGCTGAAGTAAACAATTCCAGCTGAGTTAGAAGGCTCGGCAGGATTGGGCCCTTTAATAGCAGTTGTGAGCTTTATCTGATTTGTTATCAGAATGTCTTTGATATTAACAGACACATGTTTAATTTAGAAATAATCTCAATTAAAAAAAAAAAAAACTAGCAGAAAATCTGTGAGTGTATGAGCTGGTAAAGCTAACTAAATCTAAAGAAAGAGAAATTGCTATTTAAAAACAAAAGTCACACGAAATTTTATTTCTTTGGAGCAAAACTTAGCTTGCTGCTACTTAGCTTGTCTGTTCAAAAATAAAATTCACATATACTGCTTATTTGTTTGGAACAAAACCTGCCTGCAATTCTTTTTACATCACAGAACGACTGACTGTTTTGTGTGCTATGGGTCCAGGGGTTTGAAGTTCAGCAGAAGAATCCCCTCCAGCAACCTTTTGGCCTATTCCTACCTTTCTTCTTTACTTGCTCGTTTTCTGGAGAACGGAGACAGTCAGGACTGATGTATCGCTGTGTCCCCCTTGCCTGCACCACACGGTGTTCATTAAAAACTTGCTGCTAGCAAGGGCCTGATCCAGCCCTCCTGGAAGTCATTGGAAAGCTGTCTATTGACGTCATGGGGACGAGGAGCATACTAATGCATGCAAGTACCTTTACTAATGCGGCCAGTCCTGTTAACAACACCGAAGTTGTTCACAGGATTAACAGCAATCAATCAAGCCCTTTGAAAGGCACATTAAAAGCCAAAGCCTGGTCTGCAAGCCCTTTCTCACAGGAGGTGTGTATATACCTGTGGCTGCTCCTGCTGCATCCTTCTGCTCCCGGCCGGGCCGTGTCCGTGCCTGTTTCCAGCCGTGTGAATTTGGGGTAGCATTTCTTCCGAGGAGGTAAAAATTGATGGCCATCTACCCCCAGAATAAGTGGTGCTTGTGTTCTAAAAAATAAAAATTAAAAAAAAAGAAAAAGAAAAAGAAAAAGACACACTAATCGCAGTGAGAAGCAGGAGAAAATGGGGCTGCAAATGGCTGTGGGAGGGGGCTGAAAAAAAAAAGAAGGAAAAAAGTGAAGTGCTTTATTTTGGTCCCAAGCAGATAAATTTTACTCTCCTAGAGAAACTGAAGCCTGTTATAAAAGACCTTATCCTTACAAAATTCCTGCGGACTTCTCTGCTTTTGGATTGCTGAACTGGACCCATTGTGATTACACAGGGAACATTTCTCACTGGGGAACTGTTCAGCAAAAGCTGGTTTATAGATAACAATTTCACTCCTCCTTTGCCTGTATCTGTTTAAAATCTGCTACAGCCCCTTGTACATGTGTAAAGGTGCTTATGGGGTATAGCTTATTTCCACCCACAGCAGCAGCTGTGTTCATCTTGGAGCCCTTGTAGCAATATTTGTGTCAGTATTATTTCATCCTGCCACCCCTCACAGCTGTGCCTGTGCACCAGGGGGCTGTACTTGAACAGCATCCATTTCTAAATGACTATACTTACAGCTCTGTGAAAACGGGGCGTGGACCAGCTCAAAGTTTTAAAAAATAGAGGTTGTTATAAAAGGGGCACCCTCACTGAGCAGCAAAATGACTCTTTTTACTGCCGTGTTCTTTTTAATTGGTTTTCATTTGGGATAAACTGTGATTGCAGGCAGAGTGGCCTGCTTGTGGACAAGGTGTTAACAGAGCTATCTCTGGGATGGATCAGTGCCGGATGTTGTTTCACTTTTCACTGTAGTGTAGGATATTTCTTCTTTAAAAAAAAAAAAAAAAAAAAAAAAAAAAAAAAAAGAAAAAAGAAAAAAAAAAGGTTTAGTCCTCCTAGTTCTATCACGGGTGTGGTTTCAGGATCAAAAAGAGCGGATATTAGGATTTTTAAAGGGGGGGGGGGGGGGGGGAAGGGGGTTGAAAGATTTTGTTTCATGTGGGTTTTGTTGTTGTTGTCATTCTTTTATCACAGTCCAAGGCACAAGGCAGGATTTGAAAACAGGTGAGTCACGGGGCTGGGAATTTGGGAATGGGGCTGTCTGAGGATTTTACCCTTCCCGCGGCTCCTGGGCTGTCACATCTCCGTGATCTCCGTGTTTGCAGCCTTTAAAGGTTGCAGGAGTGTGCCCAGGAAGGGAAGAGGGGCAGAGCAGCCCCCTCACCCCCCCGGCTTGGACCCCAGTGCACAGCACGCCTGGCCAGGCGGCAGACAATGCGCGGTGCCTGCCACCAGCCCGGCACCAGGCGGCTGACAGCCGCTGCTGCCCATCAGCGCCTCAAGATATTTAAAGAGCCGTAAAAGGCAGCGTAGGCTGCCGGGGGCTCCGCACGGCTGCTGCCCCCAGGTGCGGGCCCCGGTGGGATGGGGAGGCTCCTCGGGGCCGGTCCCGGCCCGCCCCCCGCCCGCAGCGCTCCCCTCGCAGGGACCGGCGGTGGCCCCGGAGAGGGGCGCAGTCCTGCCGCCCCCCGATCCGATCCACCCCCGCTCCTCTGCTGGCAGGACACGGGAGCACTCTCAGACAGGAGTAGTTGGAATAGCCGAGCCACCTGCAGTGGGGTGATTTTTTTAAGGTTTTTGTTTTTAACGGGAGGCAGAGGGGACGGAGGACCGGGGGGGCGGGGGGGTTGGCAGGACACTGCCTTCCTTCTCTGTTATTAAAACAAAAGCCAAATAAAGTGGAAAGGCGGTAAAGCTTGCTCCTTTCTTTTCTTTGTTCGCTTGTTTGTTTGTTTTTAAAACAGAAATTAAAAAAAAAAAAATCCCGGTCAGTAAAGCAGGCAGGAAGATTGAAATTTTAAACTAATAACCTCCTTCCCCCGCGGCTGCCCCTTCCGTCGGCAGCCACACGTGTGTGCTACCTGCGCTCCCGGGGGACGGGCGGCCGGGGGGTCCCGCTCCCAGCCCGTCCCCCCTTGCCTAACTCCCCGGGGCCTCCTCCGCCGCCTCCGCCGCGGGGCTCCGCCGGCGGCGCCGGGAACAATGGCCGGGGCCCCGCGGGGCCGGGGCGGCGGGGGCTGCGGACAGCCCCGGGGCGAGCGGCGAGAGCCGGGCGGCGAGCGGCTGCAGCCCGCCCGGCAGGAGAGAGGGGGTTCAGGCCAGGTAACTCGCAGGCTGCTCCCGGCTCGCCTGCTGGTGTTCCTCCGAGCTTCATCCCCGCACGGCTAGCACGGGAAGCGGGAGAACCGGAGGAGAGGGGAAAGGGGGGAAAAAAGAACAAGGGGGAAATTGCTGTGAGCACACGCAGAGCCGCGTTTCGTTACTGTCCGGATTACTGTTATTATTATTTGGGGGACAAGGGGGAGTTGTGTCCTTAATCCGAGGCTCCCTGCCCTCCCCACCCCCAGATGCTATGAACGAAGAGCTGATTTCGTCTCCACCATACAGTACACTTTGTCTAGAGAGCATTGTTCGGACAAGCAACTCCAGATCACTGATGACTACAACATACGATTTATGTTTCCATCAGAGACAGACAAAATATCCTGATGGCTTGAAAGTCGGGCACGAAAACCTTACTTAATCAATCCCTTTCCAATATACACACGCACATACACACATACACACACACAGAGTATAGGAGATAACGCCCGCACTGACTGTACATAACATAAATATCAGCAGCACGAAAATTAACAACAGTCATTTGATATTTTCGACTCTCTTTAAAGCGCTACAATAATATAGTTTGTGCTTTCCTAGTTTGATGTCATCATCAATAACATAACTGATATTTAAAAAAAAAATAACTTAAAGAGCATGCATATTTTTTTAGATGCAACATGAACAGATATAGTAAAGAGAGCTTGTAACATCACAATCACAACAACAACAGCAAAAGCAACCTCTGAGCCGGGGGGTTCGTCCGTATCTGAACTGCTTTTTATTATCATTTGCGAAATTAGAATAAGAGTAAATAATAAGAGCATCATCATAACAGAAAGAAGTCAGAACACCTTGGGTTTGGGTTTTTTTTCCCCCTCTCAAATAAAAAGGCAGATTTCCCGATGATCACTGAAATTATAACGACAGCGATTGATCGGAGGGCTTGCAAAGGAAAAGGAAAAAAAATCATCATCATTGGTCCTAAAAACGCAACCGTTCCCCTTTGCTCACTTGGCACAATAGAAATTGACTGTCTCTCAAAGAGCCATGCGCCTAGTGCTATTTATAGCCAGGGGCTGTGTTGGAAGATACCATTAAGCCTCTGCCGGGCAGACAGACAGGGGGGTGGTTGGATAGGAGGAGGGGGTTTAGCCAGAGTAGAGGCAAAAGCAATCCCCCACCCCTAGCCTTCCTTCCCCGTACACACACACATCCACACACTCACACCCCACCCCCTAGTCTGGCTGGGAATTTGAACCGATCCAGCCTGTTTAAACGGAAAGGACACAGATCTTCAATGTAAAAAAAAAATCAGATCAGACCCAGAGAGAGAGAGAGAGAGAGAGAGAGAGAGACAGAGAGGGGGGAGTGTGTGTGTGTGTGAGTGTGTGTGTGTGTGTGTGTGAAAGAGGGAGAGGGAGCGAGAGAGCGAGAGAGAGGGAGAGAGAGAGGGAGAGAGAGGGAGGGAGAGAGAAAAGAAGAGGGGGAAAAAAAGGAAAGAAGATTTTCTCTATGTATATAAAGATGGCCACGTTAGCAAACGGACAACCAGACAATACCAGCCTGAGTAGCAATCACAGCAACCCCAGCACCAACGGGCATATGAACGGATTAAACCATAGTCCCGGAAACCCATCCACCATCCCAATGAAGGACCACGATGCCATTAAGCTCTTTATTGGGCAGATCCCCCGTAACCTGGACGAGAAAGACCTCAAACCGCTCTTCGAGGAGTTCGGGAAGATCTATGAACTGACGGTGCTGAAGGACAGGTTCACTGGCATGCACAAAGGTGAGTTACCTCCTGAACTTTCCCGGGAGAGATCGGGAGAGAAAGGCAGGCTCCCTCTCTCTCCCTGGTTCTCTCTTTCTCTCTCTCTCTCTTTCCTTTCGATTTCATTTCATTTTATTTCATTTTTGGTTGGCCCGGGGGCGGAGGCGGCAGGCTGGGGGGGCAGGGAAAGAAATAATAGACCCATCCTGGGAAGAGAAGAGCGAGAGTCAGGGCAGGGAGTCAGCTCCGTTTGGCTTATTTATTAGTATTTTTATTTCTTTCCCCGCTTTTTTGGGGGCTGAGAGGCTGTTCCCGGGGAGCGCCGGGCGAGCGGCGGCGCGGGAGCGGGGCCGGCGGCAGCTGTCCGCGGTGCTGAAGCCGGAGCGGGTGCTCTCTATTTACCTTCGGGAGCCGCTCTTCCTCAGCCCAGGGGTGTGTGTGTGTCCGTCTGTCTGTCCCTGGGTTTGCTGGCAACCCCCGATTTTACAGCTGTTCTGTATCTGGCACCGGCGGCTTTTTCTTTTTTTCTTTTTTTTTTCTTTTTTTTTTTTTTCCTTAATATTTTGGTAGTTTTTTATTTTTACTGTTGTCACATTTATTATTTGTAGTCCCCTACAAAGCAAGAAGTGGAGGAGAGTGAGTTGCTCCGGGGGGACTGTTTCATTTTGGCTCTATTCAACACGGGAACAGGGATATAAACAATAATAAAGAAGCCCATCTCAAGCGGGGCAGGGGTGCGTGCACAAAATCATGGTATGTGTGCTTGTGTGGGAGAAGGCAAGACAGAAAGGACAGGTGGCAGCTTAGTTCCAGAGGGAAGAAGTCTCTGACCAGGCATATTCCAAGCACTACTTTAATGTGCCCAAAGTCCATGCCGGGAACTTTTTAGGTTTTCTCTAAAGGTAGTGGAGATGTACTCCTCACACGATGCCTCACTTGCTCCATCACTGCCGGCTAATTTCCCTGCTCAGCTTAGGCTCTCCGGAGGTGCCTATCAGATTAGATGGTGCTCCGTTTTGGGGGTGGGGGAGGGTGTGTGTGTAGTGGGGAGAAATGCTCAGATCCTCGGGTAGGAAAGTAGGACTCGCAGGGAGGAAGTTGAAGGTAATTTGCATGGTAGCCCCTCTTAGAAACAGAAGAAAACCAGAAGTGATATAAGTCACCTTATTAACTCAGATTCTGTATACATGCGTGTGTGTGTGTGTGTATGTGTGTTCATATTTATTTTTCAAAAAGAAAAGGGAAAAGAAAAAGACTGGGTCAGAAGTGATTGGGGTGTGACTCCAGATTTAGTGCAGCAGGAGAAAGCGTTTTGCACGGGGCCACAGGGAGAGTGGAAGTTGTATCTGTTACAGGACAGCTTCAGTACCAGTGTCTAGTCCAGCTTGGCAGACTCCTGGCAGTGACAGTCACCAGTAATGGCATTACTGGCTTCCCAGCTTTCCAGATGCCTTGGCGAGTTGTAAATCTTGAACTTAACGGCATGTTCAGCAGGCATCTCTTCCCCCTTCCCACTCACTCCCTTCCTTGCTTCCACTCTCAGGAAACGCGAATGAAAATATACCCTGACAGTGCAAAGTACCAGTTTACACAGGCTAGAGAAAATATCCAGGGCTCGGGGACTAGGGACTCAGTCTAAGTTATAGGATATTTCTCCCATCCTTACTTGCCGGTCGCTTCAAACACCCTTCTCATTTTTAAAATGATCAGTGTAGCTCTTTCGAACCTTGCTTTCTTTTCAGACTGTCTTCCTAGAAGCCAGATCAAGATCTGATTTGCATTACTTAAACATGACACCCATACTGTAATAATTATTAATAATACCAATAAAAATAATGGTAAGAATTTCAGGGAAGGAAAGGTCCTGAGAGATTTTGTCTAATAGTGAGAGTAGACACTGAGCTCGTGTGTGTGTGTGTGTGTGTGTGTGTGTGTGTGTGCATGTGTCTGCAAAAAAATATCTAAGGTTTCTGCAAAATAAAAATAACAGCAGTAAAAGCTACACTGAAGAGAATCACTCAACATAGTGTAGAGGAAATCTTTGAGCTAACACTTTGATAAAGTATTTTTTTGGTTGTGGGAGGTTAACTATGATTTGTTGATGAGATTTTATTCTTTTGCTATGTTTTGTCTTAAACCTGAAATTAATCATTCTGTGCGCTAACTTCAATTTCTATTTCACAGATTTGAGTTCCCCCTCTTTCAGTTCAGTTTTGCTTTTACTGTATGGTGTATTCCTAGAGACAAACTCAGGAAGGGGGAGAGAGAGAGAGTGAAGGAGAGAGAGAGAGAGAGAGAGAAAGGAGAGAGAGAGAGGGATCATTTATCTTGCTTGGATGTGTTTAACACATATCCCTGAATTAAGCAAGATACTAACTTCATTTCCCTTCATTTCATTTCTGTTGTAAAGCTGCAACCTAGGAAAAAAGCCAGGTTGAGAGTCTTGTCACCTCATCAAACCAAATTGCATGAGTTCATCTCAAAACAAACAGTCATTTTTAACATGCTATAAGTTTTGGACTTTGGAAAGAAAATTTATGATGATGATTGTTATTTTGCAGGCTAGGGTTTGAGCAAAGCTTCAGTAGACACCGAGTTGCCAGCATTTCAGAGACTGGTTTTATTTAGTACATCCGAGAAGAGTTTGAACTCCTTTCTAGCGATGCCGCTGATTTATTAGCTAATCCTGATAAAAATGTGCCTCTGGCTACCTGGAAAAAAATTACTTTCTTGCCAGTAGTGATTAATTACTATTAAGTCAAAAAGCATGATGGGGCTTTGAAGGATGAGGGTTGTGTTTGGCTTTTTTATTATTATTTTATTCATTTTATTTCATTTCTAATCTATTTTTTTCTCTCTTCCCTTCTCTAAATGCAGTCATGTGAAGCATTGTATTCACTCAGATGTCCTTATTTTGGCTTTGCTTTGCAGGCGTAGGTGAAGAATTGCATAAAGATAGTCCAACTTGGCTCACAGGGGTAGGTTGGCAATACAAAACCCCAAGATGCTTTCCATAAGAGATGCATAATGCTTATACATTAATTGATCCATCACTCTCAGTTGATTTCATTCCTAATTCAGGGGATGAGGCTGTGGCAGTGGTACACCCTGAAGGGTTAATAGTAGGCTGTAGTTTATTTAAGTGTGTGGAGAGCAAACCTTGGGTGTAGAGAGGGAGAAGGTGGGACTGTTCTGGGAGGAGGGAAGAGAGAGGAATTAGCTTAAAGTGAAAAAAACAGCAACCGGAGTAATTTCAGGTGTAAATCCATTGAAACGAGATCAGAGGATGTGTATTCTTGAAAATATTTTGAAGATCTCCTATTGCTGCACCCCTGTATAGCAGGAGGAAATTGAAAATTAAGAACCTAAAGTACATTACTATGCCCACCTCCAAGAAAAAACTATCACAAAAGGAGAGTGAAGTCCCAGGTTCTCTCATCAGCAGCTCTGGCTGATACCAGTACAGGCACCAGAAAAGAGACAGGGGATTATGATTCTCTTGCAGATACACAAAGAGAGAAAGGGTACGGGGGAAGCAGCATGTGGGGGAAGGCGGGAAAGGCTTGCCAGATCCCTGAGAAAATAAGCTTTCATGGCACGAGCGTAGCTGCTGCATATTTCCCCCATCCTTGCTTTTCTCCACACGGGGCAGGAACAGGCTCCTGCTCTGGTACTTTGCTGAAGGGTTGGGAACAGGCTGTGTGCTGAGATCCACGGGTAGAAATCTACCGGGGCTGAGCTGACCCACCCACATGCTCACACATACGCACACACACATGCACTCAGTTAACTAATCACACTTTAACAATTTAGCAAGACATTCATTCATAACTTCCCCCCATCTTATCTAGCTGTGGAGTATGCTTAAAGGCTGAGTTACTGGGAGATATAAAGGTTAGTGCTCTCAGGACAGCCATATTATAATGCATTATCTTTGAAGTCATTTAAGGCCAATTTAAGTGGTATTTAGTATAATATTTATGAATTAATGTTATCTAAATATAGGACTGTCCCCATAGGTTTAAACACTCTTCTCTACTGAAGCTTGCTTGTACCCAAGGCCTGGGAAATGTTTTAATTTAAAACACACAGGTCTCCATAATATTCTATTTAGGAAGTCAGAAGAAATCAGCATTCCACACTTAACTGAGATTTACTGAAACACATGCGGGTGAATGCACTTAAAGTGCGGAGATAGTGTGCACTGGAAAAGCAGGAGACTTGCATGGACTTGAGACCAACAGCGCTCTTTCAACCCTTATTTAGGGGTGGGAAAAGCACAAATCCCCCAAAACCTTCTTGAAATCCACTGTTGCAGTCCCGTGGTTAGGGTATTTTTCCTACCTGCCCCAAACCTCAGTCTGTAAGCATTCAATGCAGATAGAAAAATGCAGAATGAAGAGAATACTTTAGTTCTTTTACAGCTTTACCTTCTTAAAAGTACAAATATTTTTGAAATGTAAGACACCTCTGGGGTAGAAAAACAAGGCTTCCATTCATTATATTCTTTTCTGTTTGATTATAAAGATAGATGATAGAAAAATTAAAACCTTGTTAAGTTTAAGGATGTTTACAAAGATTTTGGATATGTCAGAAATTCAAATGCGCAATGAAAATGAACATTCAGTTAATAAGATGTGTATGTTTATATGCAGAAAAGTATAGATTTGTGTGTGTATACATACAGAAAAAGAGATGTGTACACATTCATGTGTACAGCCTTTGGGAAATGGAAATTTAGTTGAAAAGAAGCACAACGCAATACAGGTGCTGAATAAACTCCTCCATAATTGAAACATAAGACTTGCCTGTCTGAAAGCAACATATACAGCATTTAGTATGGTAGTAAACCAAACAAGTTTTAGGGAGGTAAAGAACAAACAAACTGGAATAAAACAGAGGAGACTTCAAGCCTTAGGTCTAAAGAACAACCCCTTAAAACAATCACAATGTGATTTGATAGTTTGATGGAAGAGAGGAAAAAAGCAACCCCCTGCTCATTAAAATCTCCTGTATGT